TGGTTTTCCTGGTCTTTCAGCTTTAGCCCTGTTGGTTGCATTATGGTGCCTGTACAAAAGCCACTTACTTTCTCACCTTTTCCCCTCAGCAAGGCACTCAGAAGATTACAGATCTTACTGTGAATTGAGCACTGTCTAGGTTGAAGATCCCACGGGTTTTTAAAGTTTCAGGACATTTCTCCACCTAATTATCTCAGAGTTGATTTTTTCCTTCCCGCATGGTGCCAGTAACAAAGGGCAGAGCTGACAGGTGAGATCAGGATTGTCCTGTTCCCAGCTGGCACAGTGTTGTACAGGGGATCAGACACAATTCTGGAAGGTCTGCAGAGGTCCCCCAGGTCTCAGACTCTGGTGGGGATGTTTGTCTGTCAGTTGTTAGTGATGCTGATTGAATGCTGGCATGTGTGAACCAATGCAGAACCAGCTGGGCGCTGGATGTGAGCTGGGAGTGGAGGTTTGCTGAAGGAAAGGATGCAGACTCTGAGAAAATGTCACTGTCTGAGGGGGTGGCCCTTGTGCTGTGCCAGCAGTGCCAGGGGATGGTGGCTCCTGCTCTCCTCTACCTGGCTGAGGGGGACTATGGCAACAGCTCCCTGCAAGGAGACACAAAGGACCTAGTTCATGGTCTGATGGTGACACGGTGTCTGTGCTCTGAGGGTGACACTGTGTCTCAGTGAGTCGGAGGTGGCACTTGTGGTGAGTCTGCCCAGTCACAGGCTGCTCCAGTTGGCAGGGGATCACATCAGTGAGGTCTTTGGGAGGACACTTAGGTCAGAACAAGCTGGAGGAGGAGAGATGATGTGGAGGTATGGTGCTGAAACACAGAACAGTGCAGTGGAACTGTAGTTTTATTCTATGTAGACCAATATCATGGTTAACCCGTGTAAATATATCCATGTTTACTCATGTGGTAAAAGACTTTTATAGTGGTAAGTAAATAGTAGGAAATATTGATCAGAATCTCATTCATAGCAGTGTCACTGCAGGCCTTAACACTTGGGTGGACTCAGGGTTCTGCAGGAGGACAATGAGGGAATGGAGAGGCCGACCTGTGAGGGGAACTACATGGTGAAAGAGTGCACTGCGAGAGCTCTTTCCTGCAGCTGCTGAAGCCCTCTTTTCTCTCATAACAAAATTTCTTTAAAAAAAAAGACCTGTGAAAGGTGAAGAAGATTTAATGCCTAGTCCTTCAGTGCCTGGGTCTGTTGAAGCATGGGGAATGGCCATAAGGAGTGGGTTTAGTGTTCTTGTGCAGTGGGTTACAAATGGCACCAGGAATGAGGAAATCTGTCTAATCCTTGTATGTACGCTAATTAATTCAATGGTATCAAGTGAGTTTCTTCATCTCATTACATCACCATTACTCCATTTTTGAAATCAGGTTGATGACTGTCCAGCATTGTTCATTGTTTGAGATCTGCAGTTACAGAACAGCAGCAGCATAGGCAGGGTCAGGATGACAGACACCCCAGACACAGTTTCGGGATCCTGGGCTGTGGCAGGAGCTGTGTGCTGTGCAGGGGTTTCCAATACCCCACAGCAGGTGCCAAGTGAGCTCTGTAGATTATGAAATAACTAATACTCCAAATTAAAAACTGTGAAAAGATTTATCAAGTTCACCACAAAACCTCTCTCAAGACTTCCTTAATTCCTTGTTTGGGGAACATTTTAAAATCATCACCATCATCATTATTTATATGATGTTGTTAATTCCCAGAGCCCTATTCAAATTTTATGCATCTAAAAGAATAATTGTGTTATCCAAGTAGGCCTTCAGAAAGGGACTTCTTTGTTACTCAATAGCTGAAGTAATTTGTGGGTGTTTGGGTCAATACAAAAAACTGGTTATCATGTATTCAGCACTGTCTTGTCTAGGTACTGTGTAACAATGAGCTAAGATGTGCAAGATGGATATTGCCAAGCAAATAGCATTTAAAGGTATGCTTTACCTATACCAATTCTGAGCAATTCCATCCTTAACAGAAACCTCTGTATGATACAACATTTGTTTCCTTGACCTGGGACATGCCTTTATAACCATAACTGTGTTTTGCACACAAATGCATGCCTCTAAAATTGTCTGATTCTGTCTGACAAACATATGAAACCTTTCAGAATGATATATTATTTATTTATACCTTGGACCAGACTAAATTCATAAGCCTTAGGGGTATAAGCTGTAGCTTTCATCCAAAGCTTAGCTTTATTTTCAATTCTGTTGATGAATTTACTGTAGTGATTTCAAAGTCATAGGGCATATTAGCTGGGTGGCTAAAATTTCTACAGAAAGGAGATTGTGTATTTACAAGGATAACAGTAATATTCAGAATGACATCAGTGAGGGTTATAAGAATAATTAAAAGAGCTGAGTTTAAGGATTAATACATGACCACGTAGAATAACAAGTGAGGAGAGGGAAAATGCATTTTCTCTGTTATGCTGTCCTCTCCCTCACTGACCGTCAGGGCTGGATGCCAGGTCAGATCCATCACTCTAAACCAAAAGACCTCTTCTGCTCCCCAGCTGGGCAGACACCAAGTGAGGCTGGGCACTAAGATCTTGCAGTCCCTCTCAAGTATGCTCTGGTTTCACTAGGGAGCATTTATGTGTTTTTGGCGGTACATACTGTGAGCTTGGCTCCTTCGTGCTGTGGGAAGAACAGTGTGCTTGTTCTCCTCTGCATTCTTACCTGGAGATTGCTCGCTCCTATTTGTTCCTTCCAGTTTGTTCTCCCAGGCAGTGCAGACAAGCCCTCAGCCCCATCCTCCCAGAGCACACCTTGTGGTGACTCTGTAATGTGGAGAAACTGGCATGGGGATAAGATCACGCTTGTTCTGTTCTCTGACCTTAAGGAATGTAAACCCACTGACCTCATATATCTGCAGACGTTGCCAGATGCTCTTACTCACCCCACTGTGTAATTCAGCATTATCCTTATCCCTCCCACTGCATCGTGCTGTACAGACACTAACAGCAAGTGCTCTTACGAGATCCCACCATTCCATGAGGAATAAAAGCAAACTCCTCAGGCAGGCTGACTCTGATATGAGAGAGTCCCTCATTCCCTGGGCAGGCCCATGAGAAGAGACCTGGCCACTGCATTAGTTTCTGCTCAGACAATAAAGTGATGGGCAACAGAGCCTCTAGAGCCCACCACCCAAATCCAGGTGAGCTGTGGGAAAAACCTCTTGACCATCAGAGACACCAGTTACCTGCCTCCATAGCTGCCTCCCTGCAGGCCTGAGAGCCCATGTGGAAAGTGCCACATTATTTTCCTTTGGAATGTATTCATTACTGTTGTGACTTCCACATGGAAATCTGCAGTCAACAGCCTCACAAGTGTGCAAACTGCATGTGCTCTCACTTGAAACTGGCCTTCTCCATGCTCTGGTGCAGTTTAGGTTGGCCCCAGAGGCAAAACTGTGACAGCCCAGTCGAACAGGGACCTGAAGAACAGCCCTCTATTCTGTTTGGGCAGGGAAGGGTTTTCTGAAGAGGATTCACCTCTGAGCAACGCATGGAAGGAACAGATTGTCCCTACAAAATAACTGCAGTTACCTCCTAGGACAGTGAAAAGTTGGCACTAAACTCTAATCATATATCTTCCTTATGTCCTGTAAAAAGGGGCTGGGGCAGCACACCTCTGTGTCCTTAGGGGATATGTCTGTGCTGGGCTATAGACTACCTGGCTGTACTTTGATTTCAGAAGCTGTAGCACTATGGCTCCTGGTTCACATCCGTGTTAGGCTGTAGTAGTGAGAAGAAACAAACACCTGTTCTCGTGTTTGATATTTTAAGTGCTTTTTAGCAATGTTGGATATCCAGACAAACCAACATTACTTTGAAAGCTACTGTGGAAAATCACCAATGATAATATTGCCAGAGACAATTATAAACATGTAAACCAAACAAAACTGGTGCTTTCTAAATATGCCTGTAAGGGTTGATCACTGCCTCTGCATCACATACATTCCAAAGGGTTCGTGGATGTGCTACAAAGAGTGAATTTGTAAATACATCAAAATTAAGAAATAGATCATAGTTACATGCAAAACTAACACTTCTCCTTTAAGAATGAGGGCTGTATGTCCCCAGGAGCAGTTACCAGCTTCAGTGAGGATACTTGTGAGAGCAGAGGGACATGAAGTCAAGTCCAATTTTTGTTTGCTTGTTCTAGCATAGAACCTGCTTATAAAAGTGAGAAAAAAAGCTCTTTATTCCTGCAAACTTGTGGCATTATCCCCTGTCCTGAGGGTGGGGAGTCAGTGCCAGAACCTGTGCACAGCTGCTGTCGAGGAGTCAGCATAAACCCTGGCACTGCTCAATGCAAAACCAAGTTACCCCCCCAACACCCTTCCTCCAAAATGCAAAGGATTATTGCTGCAGGAATAAGTGCCCTTTCTTAGAAAGAAAGAGAGAAATAGAACTTAGGGGGGAATTGGAAGTTTTGGTCATGTTCCTGCTGCAGCTGCTGGAAATGCATAAGAGTGAATTATCTTGGGAGCATGACAAAGGTCTGACAAAACCTGGCAGTTTTAATTAATGGCCTCTATTCAGCTGTCAGAATCCAGTGGTTCTGCTGACAAGATAGAGCAATGACAGATCAGTCTCCATTGACATTCTGTGTAGATGCCTTTAAGGTAGTAAAATATATGTTTAAAAACATATACTTAGTCACGTGCATAAATTTTGAAGTCTTTCACAGGTGCCCAAATTTGTATCTCAATTACAGATTTCCTTGAGCAAGACATACAATTTAAATCCCTAAAACAAGTCAAACCTGACACAGAAATGATTAATTATTGAACAAAAAGGCATCATCATGACCATCTGTGGATAAAAAGAAGGGAGGAGTTTTACCATTGCAAAAACAAAATTCACATTTGTAACATCTAATGCATGTTTGGGTTTTTTTTTTTTAATTAGCCAGAGGAATAATGGATTTTGGAATCACTAAAATGGCTTTACATGGCTTTGTGTGCTGTTGTTCTGTTTTGCAGTGACAGAGACTTCTGCAGGAGAAAAAATGTGGAATCCCAGACTAAAATCTCCCACAATCTCCCATTGGAGAGGTAATGTCTTCAGCCTCCCATGGAGCCAGGCCTGGCCTGGCTGGGAATGCCCCTGGAATGCAGCTGGCAGTGAGAGCCAGCTGGCCCCTTTCGTGCAGGTGCCAACAGGGATTGCTGACGGGGCTTTCTGGGAGGGAGCTCAGCTGCTCAGAGCTCCCTTTGGTAAGAAACCACAGTGCTTCCTGTGAGCCACACGCATGGTATGTACAGGGGAGTGACTGTGTCTGACCAGACTAAACCCCACAGTGTTATCATTGTCTCAGAGTTCGCAGGTGAGTTACCTTGGGCATGATCCTGTCTGTGGTGCACCTGAGAGCAGGAGTGACGAGCTCTCAGTGGCCCCACGGTGCTCTTAGTGCAGCTGCCTTCTTGCTTTGGAGGAGGTTCTTGTTCAGAGAAGGTCCCCTGAAAGATCTCTTCTTTATAGGAGAAAAGGAAAGGTCACCTCAGGCCACCCTGAGAATCCCTCATTTCAGGAGAGCCCTTAGAGCCTTTGGGAAACAGCCTTCACCTGTCTTCTGCAGGCTGCAGAGGAAAGTCCAGGAGTGTCCCTGAGGGTGTGTGCAGAGATGTGTACTAACCCTGCTTGTGGGTAAACACAGCAGAGAGCGCTTGCAGCTTGCAGGAGGTCAGGGCAGCACGGCAGGCTGAGGGCACGGAGCTGCAGCAAGGTCTGGGCTCCATGGCTGGCACAGGGACCAGCACCACACGTGACCTGCACCACAGCTGAGCGTGGAGCCAGTGGCAGGCACGCTCCTGGCAGCAAAGGGAAAGCAAAAAAGTGAACAGTGACAGAAAGAGGCCTTCAGGTTGGTGCTTCAGTCTCCATATCACCCCTGAGAGTGAATTCATAATTCATACGCCCTCAGCCGACCCATTTTTGAGATCCACAGAGCAAATCAGGTTTCCCTGCACAGGCACCTGCCCTGTGTGAACACCTCTGGTGCTGCTGTTGGAAGATTTGAGAGGCTCTGAGCCTGTGGCAAAAAATAGGTGGGTCTGGTTTCCATCGTCATCATGTTCAGTAGTACACATGCCACGATGATGAAGCATTGTAAATCATGACTCTGCTCACATTCACTGATAAACCAGTCATGCAAAAGGCTCTTTGGAGTAGGAATTCAGCAAAAGGCATTTCACATCTGTCAGAAATAATTCAAGGGTGTGGAGTGACTCATTGGGAACTGCTTGAATAATCAAGACTTCATTTTCAGCAAGACAAAGCCATGAACTCGTCTGGCACCACATCAGTGGGAAACATGTTCCCTTTGTTAAAGCCTATGTTCCAGGGACAGGTGCTAGCAAAAATACCAGAAGGAGGGATTTTTGTGATGGCTACAGAATGACCACTTTTAAAGTGCAGGTTTGTGTCTGACAGGATACATGGGTGTAAGACTGCAGAGCTCAGAGTAGGAAATAAAACTGAGACGGCAGGAAAGCCTTGTGTGGTCAGAAGAGTTGCTGCTGCTGTCAGGAGCAATATGTCAAGAGTGTCAGTCTCCTAAATCAAAGTAGTATTGCAGGGAGCCAGCAAAAAGAATCCACAGCCCCAAATCAGATGTGGGTTGGGATCAGTTCCAGGGAAAAGTCCTTTCCCACCACCAGGCCATCCTTCCCTTGGGAAGGCACATCTTCATTCTGACGACAGTGGGATCTCTGCCTAAACAGCCTCTGACTCCTGTGTGTTCCCATCTCTCTTCCTGGGCAGGTCTCCTAAATGAAGCTCTTTTGCACAGCACCTGAAGTGAAGCTCTTGGCAAAGGCTTATTTACCACGATCAAGTTCCCTATCTATGCACCAACCTGCATGTGCAGAAAGGGGACTGGAGGAAACTGAAGGTAATTGTGAGACATTTTTCCACCCAGAGCCTGGGAAGACAGACCTCCTCTACTATACAAATCCACAAACTCTTCTCAGATATCACTTCCTAGATTTTTTTTCCAGGCCACAAAACCATTTGAATTATTATCAGGTAACATGTTAGGTAAACAGCTCGTAAGTTTAGTTAATGGACAGTGTTATTTGAGAAGCAAATGATGCCAGCTTCAGAGTCCAGGCACCCCCAGGTTCAGATGCTGGGACCCTCAGCTTGTTCTGTCAGAGCTCCCAGGTACTGCAGCCCTGCAGACAGAGCTGTCTCTGTCCCAGCAGATCTGACAGCTGGAAATACTAGCAGCACTCAGAGACTGGAGAGCTGGCAAATGTGAGACATGGCAGGAAAAGCTTTATATACTGAGCAGAGGCTGGGAAAAACCTTGTGAGCTCTGGTCACAGGTCAGAGAACAGATGAAAGTGCAACAAGTGATGGACACCACTGGAGTTCTGTGTGTACTGAGGTCTAGAGGTTGTCACTACAGATCAGGTATTTCCAGCAGTTTTTTTCTTTATGCAAGTTGTAAAATATTTCCCAAAAGTACTGGTTAGGTGACAGGATAATCTGCTCTGAATCTGTTCTTGCAAGGACAGGGCTAGATCCATCATGACCACAACTTGCCAGCACTTCATACAACAACTGTGATCCCGTGTGAATCAGACAGTGACCGTGAGCTCCAAGAGCAGAGTCCATGAAGAAGGCATGTCTTGGAGCAGGGTGAGGAATGCAGAGGCGTGTGCTGCAAGGTGTGGCAGGTATGTGTGAGCTGTTAATGACTGTGCTGAAGAAATCTTGGTGATGCAGAGGTGAAGGAGTCCAAGAGCTGGAGGAGTCCACAACCCATGCTGTGGGATCAGCTGAAGGACTGATCTGCAGCCATAGCAGCTGGTGCAGGTTCCTGGCATGAAAATGCTGCTCAGCAGCAGCAATTCTGAATCTAACATGCTAGCAGCAGATGTGGGCCTCCTTCGGTATTATCTTAATTTTCAAATACCTTATAATGCTTTGCACAGTCTTGACTTTCATTTGAGATGTCACTGGACAGGGTACTCATAGCTACTACCACCATTCTCTGAACCAGCCTATCTGAAGGGGACCCCCTCAGCTTACAAGTGAGGAAAGGCAGCAAAATTAGGGCTTTAATGGATGAAACTCTGGATGGGATATGGATGAAACTGAGAAATTTAATAGATGAAAAGTAGCAAAACCACTGACTAGCATTTGTAAAACTGAAATACAAAAAGCATTAAGTTCTGCAACCTGAAAAGTACAGAGTCTGTCCAGTTGTAAGTCAAAGCTGTGGCAGGATCTGACCCTGCCTGCTCAGCCCTGAGACTGAGCTGCCAGGCTCTCTTTCCCTATGTTATGGGCTCCAGCTGTGGCACACCAAAAGGGACCTGCACCTTCCAGGCATGAACCCTGCTCTGCCCACCCGCATGGCCTCACTGCAAAGAGTGGCTCTGAATTATGGGTGGGCAACACTGCACCAAAATTGCTTCCCCCCAGAAAGTTTGGTGCCATTCACCCTATTTATTCCATGGGCTTTTGCAGCCCCCTCGAGGTGCCAGGCACTGGGGAGGCCTGTACCATGCTCCTGAGAGCAGTCAGTGCTTCACCCTGGGAACAAGGTGCTCCTTGCCAGGGAAGTGACCTGTGGGCACAAGTGACCTTTCCTAACAGCTGGCAGTTGTCCCACCCAGGCTTCACCTGCATGTCCAGCAGCCAAAGGAGGGATGGGGATCAGGCAGTTAGCAGGTGACAGTGTGATCCTGGCCCCGTGTCTGACCAGCACTATGTGACCAGGGATGCCACCAAGAAAGGAATTCCATCTCATCTAGATCTTTGAGATTTTTCCATCCTAAACACTTGGCTAGGCCATTGTTGTGTGGATTATTTTCTTTTTCTGTGTGATAACTGAAGATGTTTACTACCAGGCAGGAGTTTTGGTTTCTTAGGAGTGGCAGCCAGCCTCAGCTCCTGGGAGCAGACAGCTTTAGTGGCTGCCCTGGGCATCTGCTGACCATGGACCTTATTCTTTCAGGTGTCCTGTTGCTAACTCACATCTGCTGGTGCAGAGGGATTGAATATATGGTGCCAACAGCCTCTGGGGGGGTTTATGTCCCCTCCACGTACCCCAGTTCACTGTAAGTGTCTGCCCTTCCCTGCCCAGAGTGGTGGGAAATGGACACATCAGGGAAGCCTGTGTTTCAGGCTGTGCTCTGTTCTGGGGCCATGCAACAAGGGATCTTTACTGGAAATGGGAGGTATGTGCCCAGTGTCATAACTGCCATTACAAAACAAAGAGCTGCTCTGGTACAGTCATTTGTGCTGATGAAAGCTAGGAAATGCCATCCTGTCCATCTCTGAATCACATCCTTCAGCAGATGTGCATGGGGCAATGCAAAGGAGGTTCTTAGTACTATGTATGTCAGTAATGAAGTTTCCTGGGAATAAGTGAGGGGTCTGGGAGCTCAAGGTATTTGTCTCCTAAGTTCTTTTGTTCCCATGGGTTGGTCCTTGGCAAGCTGCTGTACCACACCAGGAAGAGAGCACTCAGTCATTCCTGAGCAGGAATTATGCATATCCCGACCCACAGGCAGCCAGGATATCATCACAGCATTGTCTGCTGTGTCCCAGCTTTTCTGAGCTGAACAGATGTGTGTCAGCTGAGGAGAGGGACGCTGACCTTGCATTGGCCAGTGCTGTAACACCAGAATTGAACTCTAAATGTGTGCACTTGGAGGTATTCTTTTGGTGAGAGCTTGTACATCTTCTGCTACTTACTTCTTCAGGCTGGCTCACGTTTAAATCTGATTGTTGCAAAAGAACAAGTCTACTCAGCCAAAACAGTTATGGGAGGGAGAGAGGAATCAGTTTCGGAACTATGAATCACTTGAACCTCAAAAATTCCTGAATGAAGAAGATGGGGCTCAAAGATAACATAAAAAATGTGATCAGTACTGGAAACAACCCAAGTTCTGTGTCTCCTAAGTGGGTGTCTGACCACAAGACTTCCCATCTTCATCTAACTCAAGATGCTTGCTCATCATTCTTGTAAAATATGCTGCTCTCATCTCTTTTGTTCACACAACAGAGAAACTTAACTTTGTGATGTGGGAAGGAAGCAAAACAGCAATTCCATGTATTACAGTGAAGTCCTAAGTGAACTTAGTGTTGCAGCTAATGTTCTAGAATAACAATTTCTTGGTGGAATCTAGCATAGACAGTGATTACAAAATCACCTGCTTTGGTGAAGAAAGGAATTATACTGACTGGTTTAAAATTGGCTTCTTGGCCTGACTAAACAGCTTTATCCACTGAAGAGATCACAAAGATTTTTATCACAGGGGATTAAGGCATTGATTTACATCTGACAGCAAATTAAACTGAGATGAGTGATGCTGTAACCATTTTGTTTCCTGTCTTGGCTCTCTGGGACTTGGCTAACCCCGGAGGGGAAATGCTGAACTCAGCAGGGCTGCCAGCCCGGCGCAGTGACCCTCACTGGCACTGCCCGTCACTGGCACTACCCATCACTGGCACTGACCCTCACTGGCACTGCCCATCACTGGCACTGCCCATCACTGGCACTGCCC